TGAAAGGAAAGAAACACAGAAAGAATAGGGTGGCCAGTGACACCTGCTGGCCAAATGGGGACAGAAGAGCCAAAAACATAGCATGCTCAAGACATGTAGATAAAAGCTTCTTCTGAAATGTTCAGTCTAAGCTTTGAGGTTGCAGAAATGCTGGACAATGAGAAGGTCTAATGCAACGTCTGCAAGGAAATGAAGCTCCACGTTTTGGTGGTTGTTTTGCTTGGTAAACTTGATTAGAGAGATGCCAGATAAATTGTTCTTGAAATTACTGGAGTTGTTCAGTGTTTTGTTCTTTCTTGTTGTCATTCCTTTTCAACTATATAAAAAATAAAACCACCAGTAAAGAGCCAAAATTCTCCAGTTCGTACATAATTCAGAAAATAGTTTGTGTCTGAATAAGAATCAGTAAAAACGTCCCTTCCCACACACCGTCAGCCTAATTAAGGTCTCAGTCCTGTTATAGAGGCACTTTTATTATTTATTGACCAGTTGAAGCCAAATATTTTTCATTATAATTATTTATTATTATTATTACATACTCAATAGACTAAGCAGTAGTCCCCTGGACTCACTGGCCAAGACAGTATGCTCACATGGTTTGCTTGCTCTCCCTACCTACGTCTTCACAGGGGCTTTAAGATTTGCCATTGAAGGCTGCCCTGCCTTGTGGTTGGGGTGATTATCACCCCCCAGCCATGCCGTGTTGGTATTTATTGTGGCTGCCTGAGTGGAAGCCAAGGTCACTGGCAGTGTGTGTGGTGCTGATCATCTCCAGCTGGTGTGCAGTGTGCATGGTACTGATCATCTCCAGCTGGTGTGCAGTGTGCGTGATGCTGATCATCTCCAGCTGGTGTGCAGTGTGTGGTGCTGATAATCTCCAGCTGGTGTGCAGTGTGTGTGGTGCTGATCATCTCCAGCTGGTGTGCAGTGTGTGTGGTGCTGATCATCTCCAGCTGGTGTGCAGTATTCGTGATGCTGATAATCTCCAGTTGGTGTGCAGTGTGTGTGGTGCTGATCATCTCCAGCTGGTGTGCAGTGTGCATGGGACTGATCATCTCCAGTTGGTGGATTCCCAGCTGGCCGTCGCATCGCAAAATGTAAGAACTGTGAGGTCTTAGTTTGTCTTATTTTGTTGAATATATTGGGGTATTTCAAACCATGAGCCCTGAATTGTCTATTGAATTGCAATCGTGAGCACTGCATCGTTACACCCCTATACCTTACGCTGTCTTGAAATTAAATGCTGTCATTACAACACATTATTTGAGTTACTTTAATGAAGCACATTTATGCACATACAAATATTTATGTTTATTTGTGCATTAAAATGACTGGTGTTATAGGGGGAAGCATGTGCCCGTAATCAGAAAGTCACTTGTTCAAGCCTGGCTTTGGTAGAATAGTCACATAACAGTGGACCCATGAGCAAGGCCCTTAACCCCCATGTCCATGGGCACCACTGCAGGTAGCTGCCCTTCGCTGCCAAGCTCGCTCTCACCTACACGTGTGTCATGGAGAGTTAGGGGGGTTAGACAAATAGAAACTGTCCCCATGGGGAATCAATGAGTTTTATTATAATTATCATTATGAATATATATTGCATGCGTCGGTCTTTATTACAGATACTGAGACTCATTCAATGAGGTACATTGTAACTCTGCTGTCTCCAGTTCAGGGCTGCTATAATTAAACCCCGATGCGCCAGAAGCTTTATGCCCATCCCTAATAAACAGACAGAAGGTAAATACATGGAGTGCAGGAGTGACTGACTGTGCACTGACATCATCTGGATGTGGGTGTGGCCTTTAGCAATAACTATGGCAGTGGAAGTTAGCTACCAAACTGGGTTCTGGTCCTGATGTGACAGGCACTTCTGTAAAGCTGAATTAAGGTAACATCAACAAAAATCATAAAATAATAACAACAACAACAACAACCACTGTGGGTGGTGTGGTGGTACAGTGGTTAGCACTGTTGCCTCACAGCAAGAAGGTCCTGGGTTTGATCCCAGGACCTTTGAGGTCCAAAGCATTTGACTAGGGTGGGAAAATGCTCCACATAGTGGTGCTTAGGATGAAGCCTTAACTCAGGGAAAGTCTGTGGGAGTACCTGCCTATGATCACTGATTTTACACTAATGGAAAATCATCAGTAATGGACGGGCACAATGCTAACTCCACCACCTCTTTCAGTTCCATCAAAACTTCCCATGCACCATCACCCTCTGGTACTACACTGCCTACAAGCAATGGAGGCAGTCGGAGTAGAGTGCCCATTGCCTCCTATCGTTCCTCGAGACAGAAGCGTTTTGGGAATTGGCTGAGGTCTATCAACTTTATCGCTGTGCTGATATGGAAATGATGCAATCTTTTGTTTCAAATACCCTAAAGTGAAGTACTTCGGTCGGATCATCTCCTTAATGCAAAGAGAAAGCTCCACAGGAACGATACCTTCCAGAAGATTATGCAGTACATCGGGTGGAAAGCCTGTGATTGGAAGGAAGTGATTCAGGGAGTCACTCAAGACACAGCCCCCTTTAACACCAAAGTAGCTAATCAAAGTGTCAATTTCTTGAACATTTTATACATGAAGGTCATGGCTGGCTTTGGTTCTTTGAGTAAACTCTTTATATCTGACTTTGGTTTCTTGAAATTGTTCTGTTGTGGCCATACAGAATCTGCAAACATATTCAGCTTTAATTGACTCTACAAAGCCAATTAATCCATGGGCAGCGAGATTGTCAGCAGAAACACAGAAGATGGTGCCTTTGACATTCTGAGCAACATTTTCAATGAAGACACCATCCTGTTCAAGAGTAGGCAGATCATGCAGCAGTGGAGCAAGTACAGCTGCATATCCATACTTTTGTAGGTCTGACACTTTTGCTAGTATTGCAAGCTGTGTAATGTGTAAGGCTGATCTGTATTTTGGTGACAAAGTGGCAAGAACCCAGTACACAGCATAAAGTTTATCAATTTTTCGTGATGTGCCAAGTGCGTTAGCAATTTCTAGCTCATCAATATATAACTGTAGAAGTATGGTGAGATCCTCTTTTGAAAGTAATTAATTTTCAAGGAAATACGATCCACGACTCCTGAATCATTTGAAGGATGGGAACATACATGATGGTATGTCCAGGTTGTTCCAAATTATACTCTACTGGCTTTACACAGAGATAGTTGCGCTCAATAAAGGTTTTTCTGTGCTTAGATGAGGACAGCTCTCCATCTTTAGAGGTAGCAGTTAAAAGAGCACTGGTCTCTATTACAGTACTAACAATTTCATCCAGGGTAAGTTCTGCAATATTTGAACCATTTCTCTGCAGGACATAACTAACTGCCTCCTTGATCAATGGCTGGGATAAAGACAAAATTTGATTCAAGTGCTCCACTATTTCTTGTGTAGCTATGTTTGAAACATGGAAGAGAGCTTGCATCTTGAGGAATAAGGAAGAAGCATTCATTTTGAGTTGATTTTTTAGACTGTCAGTATTGCACTGATCATGATCCCACACTTCTGTGCTCTGGCCTGGACATACTTCATGCATATCAGTAGTGATCTCCACAGTACTGGATAGAACATTCAACAAAAAACAACAAATTTATTTTTGTATAGCGCGTTATCACAACATTACATTGTCTCAAAGGGCTTTACAGCAT